ATTCATGATAGATGAGTATATTTGCTTCTAATATCTCCCTCATTCTTTTCATCATTTCATCCCTGATGTATTGTCAGAGTTCTTCAATCCAATCCTATAGCTTAATAACTTATTTTTCAATACTTTAGATTCTTCTATTCAAACCATCCATTGAGTTTTCTATTTCAATAACAATATAGTTCATCTTAATATCTCCAATCAGATCATCTCCAAAACTGCTTGTGGTTGCATCGTGTTTCCAATATCCCCTCCTATGTCTCTGAGAATAATATGCTGATTTTGAATATCTGTTCTGTGTATTCCATTCGTTGGTTTCCCAGTATAAGTTGTTTGTAGTGTGGCTTAATTCCCCACTACTGTGCTCTGACTTTGTGAGTGTGTTGAGTGGTAATATTGCTTTGGGGAAGCAGAGAAAAAAAGAGCAAAAGTCTAGGTCCTTTGTGCTGTAAAAAATATTCCGGATGCGCATGGAGGGTGTATACCTAAAGACCTATAATATTGCCATCTGAGTTCATTCAACCATTCACTGTTCCTCATCCACGAGCACTCTCTAGTTCCCTGCCCCTCAACCTGTCCTGGTCACCAAAACTCTTCCCAGTACCTGGGCTCTGTTCTTGTCAGGGCAGCTACTTGTAACGGCCAGGGAGTGGGGCTGTTGAGAGCCCAGCCAGGCAATCAGGGCTCCTTGTGCATGGCTCCTCCACCTTAAGCACAGTCATGGATGGCACTCTCTTGATATTCCTTGCCACTCTCAGCTGCTGCTGTTGCTTTGCTGTTCGGCACCAAATAGGTGGCAAATAATCTAGAACTTTGGATTTTGAGGCAGTAGTGCAGGCCTAGCCCGGGTAAAGAAATGGATGCAACTAGAATATTTTCTTCTTGCCCTCCCCCCACTGGCATTCGGCCCACTGTCCTCCACCTACTGTACTGCCCCACCCCCTAGGGCTTACTCTTTCCTGAGTACTTACTGAATAGGATTTTGAGATGCTTCAGCCTCCCTTTCTGTGCTCTAGCACCTCCACTGTCAGTTAGATGAGGCAAGACAACAGCCTTCACAGTCATTCTTTATTAAACCATCCCTAGCAATCTAGAATCTATACTATCAGTGCCATTTAGCAACAAATGCATTGAAGTAATTTGTCCATAAGCACCATCAACAGTTAGTTTTCAACCTTCAGGAAACTCCCATTCTTTCTCTGGATGATTTCTAAGTACCTTCTCTCAGATTGCTTTATTTTCAGAAGGATGTAAACCCTTGTGATAGCTTGCCCAGGCAAAAAAACCAGATTATAACTTTTATAAAATTATACTGCTATCAATTTCTTATATAGTTCTAGTTTTTCCTTCATATATTTAGGTGCTTTGACATGCTTTGCTTAAATGTTTATGACCTTATGGAGTATTTTTAAATATTATCTATGTATAATATTAAACTTTAAATTTAATATTGTGATTATATTTATAGTAATATTTGTCTATTGAATTGTTTCCCATTTTCCTTTATGTTATATTTCTATTTCATTTTTAAGATATATTGCACATATGGATTAAATATTTTTAAAGAAATTAGATAATCTTTCACTTTTATGGAGGAGTTTAAACCCTCTATATTTACTAACATGTAATGTGCTTAATTTTACTTTTACCATATTTTCTTGATTTTGTTTATATTGTATGGTCATTTTGTTTTCTTTTGCCATATAGACTTTTTTATTTGCCAGTGATTCAGTAATTTTAAAATTATATATTATACTTTTAATTAATTGTGAATCTTTAAATAAATATTTCCCTATTAAATGAAGGTGAAAACTATGAGAAGCTTAGCATATAATTATTCTTTCAACCCCTCAATTTCACAAGATTTTTAATATAATGTGAACTTTGGATTCAAACCACTAATACTTGTTACATTCTATATCTTTTCCTTGAGAAGCAATTTTTAGTATTGATATTCTATTTGGATCCAAAATTACAATTATTTGATCATGTCAGTTTTTAGCTGGTATAAGTGTTGATTGCCAATTGTTTTATGCCATGATCTTTCCATTCTTGATATTCATATTAAATTGAGATACTAATATTGATTTTCAGGGTTATTGCAAGCATTAGAGATTCTTTATGTGAGATACTAACATAGCACTTGACATGGTGTAATCATTTAATAAAAATAATAATTTTATTGATTTTCTCACTATTTTGGAATGCAAAGAGAGAAAATTTTAAATTAGTAAAACAGTTATAATTCAAAAGCTACTGATGACATTATTTATAATTCATCACATCAAAAAATACATCTTTAGTAATTTTTTTCAAGAAAAATGCAGAGTGAAATTCCTGTATCCTTGCATACATAAAATGTTTTTCTGTCATCTAAATGCACAACTTAAATTAAATGTAATGGATTTGTAGCATATGTTTTTTTAATTTTGAATTTTTTTCAGCATTTCATCTTTCAGAGGAGAAATGTGGGGTCACCTAATTTTATCATCATTACATCATACTTTCTCCTCCTCTCCTCTCCCCCCTCTGTCTCCTTCCCCTTATTCTATCTGCTTACTTCTTGAATTTTTTCTTTTATCCTGTCTGTACTTTCACTTGGGTATAAATATGTTTATATTCATTGTGCCTGGCCTATGGTTGTTCCATTCTAGTAATATCTGCATCAGTGGGCTCTTGCTGCATTAACAAACCACCCCTAAACTTAGAGACTTAAAACAGTAAGCATTTAATCTTTGCTCAAGCATCTTTAGGTCGGCCAGGTAGTTTTGTTGATCTGGGCTAGGCTTGGCTGCTCTTCTCTAGAGTTGCTCACATGTTTGCCATCAATAAGTTGAGGATTGTAAGCTTGGCCTCAGGAGAGATGATTTCTCTCTGATGCACGTCCTTCAGTGGGCTACCTTGCGGTTGTTCACATGATGGTGATGAGGTTGCTTAAGCCACAGCTGGAAAGGCTGAGAAATACTGAGCCAGAATGCAAGGAGCAGAAACTTGGCATGTAGCAGAACAGTGAATACTGAGGTCCCACAAGCACTCTGAGATCCTTTCTGGAAGCCTTTCTGCCCTCAAGGCCCTAGAATTCCATGTCTGTGACTGGTGGGGCAATCTTGAAGTTATTTGAAATGCTTTTGGGGTCTTTTCCCCATTATCTTTAGGATTAAAACCTGGCTTTCTTCTGTCTATACTAAGCTCTTTATTAAATCATCCCTTGGCCACACTCTAATTTTTCTCTCCTAAACATGTCTTTTCATTCTTTACATAGCTAGGCTAGAGATTTTCTAAATCTCTGTGTTCTACTTCTCTTTTAATTAGAAATTTCATCTTCAAATGGTTTCTCTCTTCTTTCATTTTATTATATGCAGTTATTAATGAGAGAAGCCACAGAGCACCTTAAATGATTTGCTGCTTAGAAATTTCTTCTGCCAGTTATGCTAGTTCATTGCTCTTAAGTTCTTCCTTCCACAAAGCCGTAAGGACACAGGGACAATTCAGCCAATTTTTTTTTGCCACTTTATAACCAGGATGGCCCACTCCAGTTTTCAAAACTGTGTTCCTCATTTTCATCTGAGACCTCATCAGAATTGCCTTTACTGGGATACTTCTATCAACATTTTGATCACAACCACTTAAGTAATCTCTAAGAAGTTTCCGACTTTCCCTACAGCTCTCCTCTATTTCTGAGCCCTCCCCAGAATCACCCTTAATGCTACATTCTGGACAATCTAGGCTTTTTCTAGCCTGCTCCTCTGGATTCTTCTACCCACTCCCCATTTCTGAGTTTCAAAGCCACCGCCACATTTTAAGATATCTGTTATAGCAACACTCCACTCCTTTGGTATCAATTTCTGTCTTAGTCTGTTTAATGCTGTTATCCTGGAATACTGCAAACCGAATCATTTATAATAAACAGAAATATTGCAAGAGCCTTCTTGCTGCAATATAACATGGCAGAAGACATCACATGGCTCCTTAGTGGGGAGGAAGAGAGGAAATTGACTCGTGTGATAACAGACTCACTTCCACAATAATGGTTTTACTCCATGATTACCCCATGGCCTAATCACCTCTTAAGGGTTTCACCTCTTAATACTGTTACAATGGCAATTACATTCCAATATGACTTTTTAAGGGGACAAACATTCAAACCATAGCACACAAGGAAGAAATGTAGGTTTTCTTCAGACTTCTGCAGAGCCACACTCTCTACCAGAAGACAGATATCAATGTCTAAAAAAATATGAGAGAAAGCATGACCCAGTAACTTTTTACTTAACTAAATGTATAAAGGCAACAGAAAGACATTCCCAAGCATGGCCAAAATCAGGAAATTAGATAACCGTGAAGTTCTCTTGAAAAAAAATGATGATAACATCCATCCTAGCAAGAGATATATTAAAATTAAGAAGCAAAGAAGCTGTGTTTTCAAGACTGATGTTGTATTAATCAAGATAAACTAGCCTGTGCTGCAGTAATAAGCAATATTTAAATGTCAGGGGCTTAGCAAAACAAAATCTATTTTTCTCCCACAAAATACGCCTCTGTAAGTCAGCATGACCTCGGGTAAGAGAAGCAGCATCAGCTTATAGCTTATCTATGAACACACAGTCTCCTTAATTACTGTGGCATGAGAAGGGAGACTGAAGAATTGTATACAGTGTTTTCATTGCCTTAGCTCAGGACTGGCGCATGTTACTTTGCTCATAGTCCTTGGCCAGAAATAGTAGATAGGGGACTGCAAAAAGACTGGGAAATAAAGGCATATAAATGAAATATTTGGTGGCATTACTATCTCTTCCACAGTTGGTGAGCACAGAATTTATCTAAAAATACATCTAAAAAATAACTAGGAATTATGGCACGAGAAGAAAATACAATTCTCGAAAAAATATAACAAACAAGAATTAGAAGAATATCTATATTAGTCAGGGTTCTTTAGAGAAACAGAGCCAATAGGATATCTGGAAATATATAAAAGGAGATTTATTATAAGGGATCGACTCACATTATTATGAAGGCTAAGAAGTCCCACAGTCTTCTTTCTGCAAGATGGAGGTGCAAGAAAGCTGGTGTAGTAGCTCTGGTCCAAGCCCAAAGACCCAAGAACCAGGGAAGCCAGTGGTACAAGTCCTAGTCTGTCTGAAGGCCTGAGAACCAAGAGCACCAATGTTCAGGGTCAGGATAAGATGGATGTCCCAGCTCACACAGAGAAAGTGCATTCATTCTTCCTGAGCCTTTTTGGTATTTTGATCAAGGTCTCAATGTATTGGATGATGCCTGCCCACACTGGGGAGGGTGGATCTTCTTTACTCATTCCATTGATTCAAATACTAAACTCTTCTGAAAACACTCTCACCAAAACATCTAAAAATAATGTTTTACCAGCCATGTAGGCATCCTGTAGCCCTGTCAAGTTGACATATAACATTACCTATCACAATATAGAAGTGTGCTAATATGTTTACCAGGAAAAAATAATGTATAAAGTTGGAACATATAAAACCGTAAATAATTCCAACTGTTTAACATTGTCATTTTATTTTAATTTAGAGGTATTTTCAAAGCCAATATCTATTACAGTGAAAAACCTTTTATAAGAAATGTCAACATTTCCTTCAGTGTAAATTGCTTCATGCTTTCATTTTAAATTCTAGGAAAATTAAGGATAATATATATATATATTTAAAATAATATTTGTTTTATCATCTAATTATCTAAAATTATTTCTTTATATATATTTATACATCTTTCCATATATGTGAATAAATTTTAAGGAAAATGTTTGATTTTTCTAAAGTTAACAATAGTTATTTTCAGGTCATAAAATTTAAAATTTTTTCTTCTTAGTCCTTTGCAGTTTGCTTGGAATAATTTTTTTTTTAATGGGAATGAAATATTTTACTTCAAAAGCAAAGCCATTATTTTCTCAGAAATGTTAATGTAGATTTCTAATTTTGGACTTATAAATTCAAACACAAAGTGTATACACGTGTATGTATATATGACACATATACCATATACAAACACATATAAATGCATAGATTATTTACTGATGGTAAACGATTTTCGGAGCAAAAGAGCAATATATAGAACAGTAGTTACAATATCATCTGTTTAGGGGTTTTGTGTATACAGATGTGTGTGAAGTGTGAGTGGGAGGCTCTTTTATATACATATATAGGCATTAAATCTTTTGGAAGGCTATTAAAATGTTAAGTGGTTCTTTCTAGTTGTTATTGTTAGAGGCAAAGAGTATTTTTTCTCATTTGTTTTCCCCAATTTTTCAAATTAACATGAATTACTTACCCAATTAAGATATCTTTTAAAAGAACAAATGCATCAATTTATATTTCTAAATAGGTTGAGAGAAATTTTATGGTTTTTAAGAAGTGCTCCTACTTTGCACATAAAAACTTACTAAGGTAAATTAGGCAATTTTCCTGGTTCCCTGGTGTCCTAAAATAATGCTTGTACAAAGGACAAAGGAAAAAATCGCATAACAAATAAAACCATTAGAACTCTTTGCAGAAAGTTTCCATTTTCTTTATCCTTTTCTCTTTTTTATTGTAAGAAATACTTTAGCTGATATGAATAAGCAAGGAAATTTTCCCAGCTGGTTCAGTGCCTCAAATTTTATGAAATCTCATCAGGCCAACCTATTTGTTCTCCTTTTCACTTATATTGCACTGTGGTTTACATTATTATTTACTAACTAGATTACAGTCTGCTGTTCTTTTCAACTTTTTCCCAGCTTTTTTTTTTTTTAAAATAAAAGTGAGGATTTCTTTCTTCTCAAATGCTAGTAATTCATTTATTCAATCTGTGTGTGGAGAGTGAATATGTAGCAATCTCAAAACCACAGGAGAATGTCAGAGGTGTTTCTTAATCTGCTTTACAAATGATTATAACAGCTGAGAAGTAAGTCAAGGGCAGGAAATCATGTTTTCAACCAGAAATTTGTTGGCCTTTTAGGTGTAAGAAAAAGCTAACTCAGTGGGGATGATTATATTTTCTTTTATTTTAGATTTACAAGATTTAGAAGAGACATACAAAAGGGGAAGTGCTTAGAGTGATTGCATAAACATTTCAGTCTAGCTTGGTTTAAAGAATTGGAATTGATAAGAGAACCCTACTGCAAGAAGACCTATAGACACATATACTAGCCAGCTAGATTCTATTCAGAACTTGTTTTTATTTTCTTCTTGAAAAGCTTTATTTGGGTATTTCTTATGGATTTATTTATTCTACATGCTATTGTGTCGAGTCAGATAGATCCACCCGGTGAGGACCTGACTTTCCTCACCTGTGACTAGGAGCAATAATACAGAAATGCATCACAGACATGTGGGAAAGAACACTTTATATCTGTAATATTCCTTCCCACAGATAAACTGTATTCTTGGAATATGACATATATTTAAATATAAACCTATATGCATATTATCTGCCTTTTAATACTTAAAAATTGGTAACTCCATTAACTCAAGGCTGAATATTTTTCCCCACCAAAATGGGGTTTGCTACTACTCAATTCTAAGAAATGACAGTGAGCTAGCACCGTTTATGCTATCCTGCATTAAGCTTAAGCCCGTTATCCAAAGTGAGGTGACACAAGATCAAGAAAACGGGCTCAAATTGGTATTGACTGATTAAACCTATGGTGATCAAATGGTGATAGTGCTCGCCAGGGTTTGGGGGAGGGGGAGATACACATCTTAAGGTTGTGGAGAGCATTGTGTGTGGTGGGGAGGGAATACCTCTAACCCTTCCTAGGGAAAGACAAAGATATACAATGTAACCCAAAGGTCAACAAACAAACAAACTTTTATCGGGTGGTAGGCAGATAGGAGGGGGGAGGAGGGGAAGAATTTATACTTACAAAATAGGTGCAATGGGCACCACCTGGGTGTAGGACACGCTTGATATTTTGGTAAGGCAGGGGGTGGGCGGAGGAATGGCAGGGGCAATATATGTAGCCCTAACAATATTTGTACCCCCATAATTTGATAAAATAAAATAAAAAACAAACAAAGAAACAAAAAAATAGGGTTTGTGTGTTCCTCTTCCAATACTCTAAACCTTGTTTTTTGTTCCAGCCATTGCTAGCCCAGTTCTGCACCTGCTTGGACCAACCTCGCACAGGTGTAACCTGATAAAACCTCTCCTGGGCCTATACCATGTACCTGCCTATTTCTTTCTGCCCCAAAGCTTCTTCAGCACAGTGATGAAGGATACCTGTGGGACTCACCTAACAGGCATGTGCGATGGAATTAATATCCAAGGGCTATCCTTGACCAATGGAATATGGAATCCAAAGGATAAATGCATTGCTCCTTCTTCTTTATGGAGGGCAGTTCAGACACTCATTTAATTATACTCCCCAAGGGGTTCAATCAGCATTAGCGCTAACCACTTGCAGTGGTGTCCAATATGTTCAATACTCTCCTTTTTCACTCTCCCTTTCTCTCACTCTTGCACTCTGTGATCACTTCCCACCTAAAACATTTGCAAACAACCGTTTGTATCAGGCTCTATTTTCGGGGAAATTAGGTTAAAATGGAGGTACCAAGCGCAACCCTAGAAAGCTATCTGGGTAGTGTTTTGGAACCAGCTCCAAGGACCAATTGCTGATGATAAGTGAAGCAGACATAACTTCAAGTCCACAGTAGCCTGGTCCACAGTAGTGACCAAGAGTCTCACCTGGGCTTGACTGCAGAGATCCTAATGGAAGGGAAGCATGGGCTTACCTTGGAGCTGTGGTACTTGAATGGAACAGAGCCAATAGTAATTGTAAAAATTCATTACTTTTGTTATCTAGTTTGGAAACCGTCTCCTATTGCTATGGGGCAGACTGTGCCATAAACCATACGTACCAGTGATTTAATTGTAAGGATGGAGGAGCTGCACAGAAGAATCACTGTACAATCTCAGAGGCCACCTATGTAGAAGCCAGGCCACCTCCTGAAAGAAAAAGAACAAGACTCTTTGTCCTGAGATGGAGACATTACAAGCTGAGATGTTTGAAACCACACATTTCCCTGAATCCTCCTAGCCCCGATGAGAAGCCTCTTGATTCTAGCTACCAGAAAGATGCTTAAAGATACTACAAAAACATCACCTCAGATATACCCTCTCAAGAGAACTCTTATACTTCCTAATATCTGTTCCTGCTACTTTAAATTGCTGAGTTGAGCTAAGATAATTTACTTTTTTAAGTGAGATACACTTACATGGTTCTTGAGTCTGTCCATAAATATTAATAGTTATTGTAAATCATCCTGGTGTGGAAAGGGTTTCTGTGGACACTCTTTTTTTTTTTTTTTTTTTTTTTGAGACAGAGTCTCGCTTTGTTGTCCAGGCTAGAGTGAGTGCCGTGGCGTCAGCCTAGCTCACAGCAACCTCAAACTCCTGGGCTCAAGTGATCCTCCTGCCTCAGCCTCCCGAGTAGCTGGGACTACAGGCATGCGCCACCATGCCCGGCTAATTTTTTATGTATATATATCAGTTGGCCAATTAATTTCTCTCTATTTATAGTAGAGACGGGGTCTCGCTCTTGCTCAGGCTGGTTTTGAACTCCTGACCTTGAGCAATCCGCCCGCCTCGGCCTCCCAAGAGCTAGGATTACAGGCGTGAGCCACAGCGCCCGGCCTCTGTGGACACTCTTGCCATCTACTATATTGAATCCCTGGGAGCCATGACACAAAGATGCAGGACCAGAGGTTGAGCTGTGACATGAAAATGTCCTGCATTGCCATTACCTCATGGGTGGCAGAGGAGAAACAGGAATGAAAGATACCAAATGAGAACTTGATCTGTAGAAATTTCTTCCAAATTACATATAAAAGAAATTCTATAGAGGTTTTCACATATTTGACAACAATCCTGAAAAATAAAAGACTACTACAGATAAATTATATCACTGAAAGACACATTTCTAATCCATCAGTAGCAAAAAAAGTGGCAATTATGATAAATACTTATCTATTTTCTGTATAGAAAATATTAAAGAATTGGTATATGAAGTGACCAAAGAATATGCAGCCAAAAATGTAAGAGACTGAGAGAGATGTGATTGAGCATAAATATTATGTTTTGTGTTTTCTAGTATTTTGTGATACTTTCTCAGAAATTGGCAAGTGACCTGTGCTGTTCTAATTTGAATCTAAGCAGTTATGATAATGATGGGACATTTTTGCTGGATTTAAATTTGGAAGAATATAAGGGCTAAGCTACTTTCTTGCAAACATGTGGAATTGGGTAATGGATCCAATACCAAAGGGGCAATGCCTAAAAATTAAAAGAGAAATTATTTGACTCTAGAATAAACCATATCTGAAACCACTGGTCCATGACATGAGGCAACAAATTTCCCTTTTGCTTAAATAAGTTGCAGTTGGAATTTCTATCACCCACAACAGACAGCAAAGATGCATATGCATCATTGCCATCTTAAAGGCAACGAAAGAGATAGCTTTGTGCTTTCTGATATAAAAATTTTATTTAATTTCCAATGTTATGTCACACTTGGCCCATGAGAACCTGAATAAATCTTACTTACTCTTAATTTCTTAGCTTTCTTGTCACTGACCCCAGTAAAAAATTTTCTGGTTTTGAGTAGTTTATTTTCCCTGATTTGCATTCTCATAGCACCATGTATTTCTTATATATATATATAGCTAAGAAAGATAGAAAATTGATAGATAATATGTAATACTTTAATCTCTATGAAGGAGGCTTTGTGTCTACTTTTATTTTCAAAGTTATATACCTAGCATCTAGCCCAATGCCTGGCATGAAAAGAATATTCCTTGACTGCAGAAATAGTGGAACGAATAATGACTGAATTCACATGAATATGAAAAAGCAGATTCTTAGAATTTCTCTCTAAACAAGTACATATTTATATGTGTGTATACATATTTATATATATATGCATATATATGTGTGTTTATAAATATGTGTATATGTGTGTATGTTCACGAGTATATATACATATTTGTGTGTGTATATATGTGTACACACACACACATATATGTTCAAGGGCAGATTTATTTAAGCCCAAGACTCATGTATAATCACAGCCACAGGGCTTAAGATCCCCTTCAAACCCCTCTTGATCTTACAGTGGAAGAGTTAATGGAGTCATTGACAGAAAGAGAGAAATGTATGCACTGAATTCAATCAGTAAATATCTTTTATTTTATGTTTAAATATTTTATTTCTTCACAGATTATACAAGAAAATGCTTATGCCGGCTTGGAATAATACGTGATAGAGATTGCTAAACATTTGAGAATAAATCATGAAAGATCCCAGAGTAGAAGGATTCAGTTTTTAAACTAGGTAATAAAACTGATCTTCTTGGTGAATGTGGCTATCACAGAAATTGGAGACATAGAAAGAGACAGTAACTGGCTGGAAAGAACCTGACAGTAATCCAGGGAAGTGGGAACCCATCTGACCTTTGTTATAACTTAATAAAGTTCCTGTTATTTGCCAAAATTGACCCTCCTCCTTGAAAAGAAAAAAAAAAAAAGGTTCTATTCTGGTGTAGTCACAGTAGTTAAGAAAAATTACTCGTAACTTGGAGATAAGACTAATAAGACAAAACAGAATATATTCTTTAAATGATACTCTGGAGCATTTTGTTAATAGGCCCAACCTGGGATTATTTAATTCTTTGGAGTATGTAACTATGTGTGACTTTGCTATTTACTGAATGATTAGAACCCAGAAGCTCTAAAGCTATCTGATAACCTGAAGATATTTTATTCCTGTAGAAAACATCACCCTCAAAATTGTGATCTTATTGTCCTGATGGATCTGAGCAAGCTTTGGCTCTTCCCTAGATAACTAATATTCATGTTTTAAACGTCATATAACTAGTTCCTAAAATGTTCTTTGAAACAGCTTTGTCATCCTATGCAATTAATGAGTTAACAAATTGGTGATAGGTCTTCATTCTATATTTCTCTAACTTATCTTTCTAGAAAGTCTATCCTCATTCTTGTTTACCTAGCACAGCAGTTTTCAGAACTATTTAAGCTATTAATAGATGCATGTTGGAATTCTCTTCTTTTCACTAAGTGAGAAAAAGTTTGCTTTTAAAAAAATAACTAGAGCTACTTTTTTTCTTTAGGATGAGTGGACCTTATAAACTGGTTCTTCCACGTAACAGAGCTGCTGTCTTGTCATTGAAAATGGTTAAGTTGCACAACCTATGTCTACACATTCCACCCTTACATAATAGTGTTCGACGCATCATGTAATCCTAATGGCCCTTGGGCACAAGCTAGGGGTGTTGCCAATTTCAAGTGTTGGACATTCTCAAGCTTTCTTTCTCCCACTTTGGTATTCTTTTTCAACTTTTGAAAGATCAGAAACCAGTAGGCAGCTAAAGGAAGTGGCTCAGTGTTTGGAACCGCTTATTTCTAGAAATTATGAAAGCAGTGTGAGCTGTGACAGGGTCGCCAACATGGGTGAGTTGTTACCAAGGCAGGAGGCCCAAGGGGGTGGTATTAAAAATGTCTTCTAAAGCCATCTCTTTGGCGCCTCTGTCCCTAGGAAGCCAGTACACCATCTGGAAGTTAGGCACGGTGCCATTTTAACAGATGGGATTGAGTATTGGAGGCTCTGAGACTATGTACTACTATCAACTATGGTGTTGGACAGAGTTTTCAGTAGAAATACTCATCTGACTCTTTTTCACCTCATCTTTTAGTCCCTCTGTCAAAGGAAATGATGTTTCTTCTTTCGAGTGAGGAAAAGACATGAAAAGATTTTCTCTTGGGTTTCTGGTGCTATCAGAAAATGGGTCGATGCCAAATCTTGCACATGGTACATTATTCACACAGCTTTAGCAAACTGACTCTTCATTTTTATGTTTTTAAATTACTCTTTCAAAACAGCTTACAATAGGCTAGTTTTTAGCCTCATAATTTGGTACATGTATGGAAGCTTTTGGATGTGATTTAGTAGAGACAAAACAGATTCAGTCACATTTTTCCCCCTTTTGATGTTCCACAAAGTACTTGACTTGAGAGGGAAAAGGCTATCAATCATTGACCAGTTGGAAAGTTTTTATTAGGCACCTAATTTAGACATAATGGTACATTATGATTCAAAGGAGTAAATTACATAATTCTTGCCCTCAAGAAACTTACAAGTTTGTTGGGGAAATAAAACACATATCTAAAATGCCAACATTTCTTCTTCCATTATAAAATATTGCAATACTTCTTCTGAAAATAGATTTAGGAAATTATAATAACTGGAATAGAGATTGGGAAAACACAGAAATGTGAATGATATAAAATAGCCTCATCACAAAAAATAGTCCTACTAATACTTTGGGGGTATTAATCTCCTGTGTGTGCGTGTATGTGCGCATATGCATGTGTGTGTGTGTGTTGGTTTTTCAATGCTGCTATTTATTTGATTCATGTATTTATGATCTATTTATGGCATTTCTAGATCTAATCTAATCTATTTCTAGATTTTGATATTGCTTTTTAAAAATATGCTACATTGTAATTATATCTCCATGTTAGAATAAATACTTTGCTAACGTCATTTTTTAAAACAATATAAAGGGTATATCAAGTAAATGCACCTTAGCTTACAAAATAATCTCTCTCTCTTTGGGCCTTGTGTTGCTTTCAATTTTTCTGTTAATATAAATAAAGAATCAATAGACAACTTTGTAAGGAAAGTTTCTTCTGCTTTTAGGACTATATTCTTGGAAAATATTCCCAGAAGTAGACTTTCTGCATCAAAGGGAGTAACATGTTTATTAAAGTTTCTTGATACATGAGTAGAATATATTGTTAAATAGTTATTAAGTATTAAACAGTTTATTTTAGGCATTATATAAAGCATTAACATTCACAAATCTTTCTTTAACATTCACAACTACTGTCCTAGGTAAATATTTTAATTCTAATTTAATAGATAAAGCAACTAATAGAGCCAGTAGTGAGTAAAATTCAAGGACTAATAATGAGTTTGCCTTTTGACTCCTAATCCAGTTCTTATTTCACCACACTACCCTGCTTCTTTAGATTGGATATGTTTAAAGAAGAGAATACTTATTATTTATCTTCTTGAAAAAGTCAATAGTATAGTTTAATTATCAGCAAACCTTTACTTCCAGTGGGTTCTGATGGCCTTCCTACTTCTCTGGGAGCAGCCCTAGTCTTCTATTTCCCTAAAGATGTCCTTTAGTCTTCCAAATCCTGTCCTATGACCAAGGGCAATCCTGATCCTAGGGAAGGAAGAATTATTTGTGGCAACAAGTAATTTGCATACTGGTTCAGGAGCGCTCTGGAGAATGGGAGAGTGAGTTTACTCTGTTAAATTATTCTATCTTTTCCCCTGAGGTTTTGAAACATACATGTACTATGAGGATGGGAAATCTACAATGCTAAGGATTCTGAATATTTCAAGTCTGACTTCATTTTCTACATTTTAGTTTCTCAGGAAATCAAATCAGAGAGTTATCTTTGCTTTCTTAGTTCATCATTTGTTATATTTTAATATATGTTTTGTGTGTACGTGACTCATTTTCCCACATTACTTTTAGATCTTTGAAGTCAAGAATCAGATCTCTTGCACAGCTCCCTAAATATAAGCATCATTACAAAATGACCATAAAATGACATGCATATTTATTTGTTATAAATTACCTTTCTGTGTACAGAGAGGCAGATAAAATGTTGTTCCACTAGTTTTCACTAGAGTATTATCAATGGCAATTGTTCTGGTCATATTTGTGCTCCAAAAAGAATCATAATATATACATATTCAAATATCTTTTTATAAAGAAGTATTACCGATGATGTATATTTGTAGCAATTCATCATTTTTGTACTAGATGGGATTTACATTGTCCTTGGACATTTCATAGCAGAAGTCTGGTATTTTGATAATACTCAGAGGGCCAGCTGTCATGGGTTTGCCTCATTATTTTGTTTGGGGCCACCTTATGTGTATGTATGATTTATTTCAGAGACCATCCTGTTCAAAAGTACAATTGATGCTAGAATATTAGAGTACCAAAACCTATCATGGTAAAAAATAATTCTATCAATAAAACATATATTTTGGATCTTTTGTTCCAATTACAGAAATTATATGAACCAAAAATATGTAAGTATTGGTGGATCAGAGATTCTGTTGGGAAGGCAATGAAATAAAAAATTACTCATTTCTCAAGTGGGATAAGTTTATAGTGGTTATTATTCTTCCATGACAGAAATAGCCACAAGCTTCAATTTTTAATGGCCTTGACAGAATAGCTCCCTGTGGTTCCATTTTTAAAATTTACCAAAAGTAAACTTTTGCTAGTGGGAAAGAAGATTTTTGCTCACATTCTTGCTAATGCAAGTAAAATATGAAATTAGGTTTTATTACTATTATAAATGATTCTGGATATTGAAATTATAAGAAAACACAGTAGGATCTTCTTCAAGAAGAGAAGAAGCTGATGCTCACACTCATTAATATATACATACTCTCTCTCTAGCAATGCCAAAATCACTCTTAGCTGTACACAATGTGTAATTAATGAATGCAGAAAAGTCCAATGAGAGACTTGCTTGAATGGTGCTGTATATCCTGTTATAGGATTGTTACAATCGTCTCATCTAGTCCTTATTTCTATACACCAAATAAAAGAACTTGTTTCGTCATATTTATAAATGCTATTATTATTTTCTGTGCTCTTTAGTGAGAACTTTGAGCATATTCTTCAACTGGTACTCTAGAAATCCTAGAAAAACTCTTGTATCTGCATACTCCATTACATGTGAAAGAATCTTCATAGTTCATGATAGAATAAAAAACAAGCAACCAAAGAAATAACTTAAAAAAATTCCAAACTGAAAATAACAGCAATGTACATTAAAATAAAATTTGACAAAGACAAATTATAATATATTCATTTCAAAGAAAATTACACAGCTGTGAAAAGGAATGAGCTACATTACACGCATTAACGTTCATAAACCTCAAAAGCAAGAAAAATACACACATTATGAATCCATTCATCTAAATTTGGAAAATAGTAACATTAAACAAGTGGTAAAAATATAAATAAAAATAAATATTAACTCAAAGTCAGGCTATTGGTAAGGGAATGCAGTCAGAATATCACATGCTGTGTCTCTAAAGAATATGCAATCTTATTTTTTTTAAAAAGTCCTGTTAGGGTGACAAGGGTTCATTTTATTCCTATTTATTCTACATAGGTTTGCTAGAATTTCTGTATCTATTAATACTTCAACAATAAGCAAGAAACTTAAATTCCGAATTAAAATAAATTACAAAGAAGAATTTTAGTGTGGTATTATTATTTAGAATACTAAATAATACAAAGACATATGAATCATGAGAAATTCTCTAGGGGGCTAGACTTAGGACTAGGTTGAAATTTCACTGCCACCATTTACTATAAGAGCTTTGGGCAAATTATTTAAATTAACTAAAATAAATTTTCTCATATTTAACCTAAGACTAATTCACAGCCATTGCTAGAATTGTTGTCAGGTTCGAATGAGCTCTTGAATAGAATGGGCTCATATACAGCATAAATTTAGAGTTTAAAAAAATTTAAAGATGATCTGGTGGATGATCTGAAAAATATGGATCTAGATTATTTCAAAGCAATCTACTTTTAACTTTTAAAAGAAGTTAAATTGTGCTTAGAATTCATATTCTGATACTAATAAAATGTATATCAAAGCTCAGAATGTTAAAATGATATTGGGACAATATTCTCAAAACTTGCAGTATCTTTCTAGCTGCTGGGACTAACTCTTTCACCTTTTTTGAGAAGCTCCTACTATTATCTGTGGCAATACCCCTAATCAGACTCTTCATTTCTAGGATTCAGAAAACATTTGAAGATTGGTAGATGAATGGCTTAATAGGCAGATCATCAGGTTTGATAAGTCTAATCAAATATTGATGCAAAAGAATTCAGTACAGAGTATGTTTTAGAAAATAGATTTAGGAAATCTGTTTATACAAACATTAAAAAAAATGTAATCCTATTAAACACATTTGAGACCATATCAATCAGTCATCTGTTTGGCATCTGGTTTGCTCATGTATTTTTTATGATGCTTAAATGTACAAGGTTTCACTAATTTCTGCTTTTCAGATGAGTGCGATGGATTTCATTCTTGATTTTCTGTGCTGCCACTTCCATCGACACCAATTATAACAGAAATCAGCCAAAGGTGAGAGGTTATAATGATCTTGGAGTTAATGAGTTCCTTAAAAACAAACAAACAAAATATTCAAAACAACGAACTCACATCATTTCAGTGAATAGCAAACACAAAAACAGAGCAAACATTTAAAAATCCTGCCGGTTGCAACCAGAATTCCTCACTGAGTTCTGGAAGTACTTGAGACAGGTGCTGAAACTGAAATGATTCCAGGTGGAGCCTGCACACTGCTTCTAAGACAGCAAACACTGCATGTGCTGCAGTGACACAAAAAGTGGGAATGTGTAGGTAAAATCAATGCCAACATTTAAAAAACAACAAATACCTGTAAATAAATATTAATACTTTCAGAAATATGCAATAGCTACCAATTTCCCTTCCTTTTTTGTTTCTTGCCACTTATTTTCAGAGAAATACACCTTTTCAAGTTACAGTAGCAACTAACAAAGCTGAGGATGTGAAAATGTCATGGCAATGGCCTGAACTGTATCCCTTAGAATGTTGACTGTATTCGGTACCTTAGAATGTGACTGTATTCAGAAACAGGGCCTTTAAAGGGATAATTAGGTTCCAAAGAGGCTGTTGGGGAAGGACTTAGTGCAATCTGACCGGTGTCCTTTTAAGAAAAGGACATAAAGAAATATAGAGACAACAGAGGCACGTGTACCAAAAAAGGCCATGTGAGGACAGGGAGAAAGCGGCCATCTGCCAGGCAAGGAAAGAGGCCTCAGAATGAACCCAGCCCACTGGCACCTTGTTCTTGCACTTCTTGCCTCCAAAAGTGTGAGAAAATAAACTTCAGTTGCTTATGCCACCCAGTCTGCGGTATTTTGTTGTGGCAGCCAGAGCAAACTAATACAGTAACAGAGACTTCAGGGTCCTGAGGAAGAATTCTAGTTGAGGGTTGGAGGGTGGGATGTATTTCTTTGTAAATGCCTGAGAATAAAATGTATTTTAGAAGAAAACCTTCAAGGCAGTGCAGATGATAAGAAAACAAGCCTGACTGGGTACCCAGGGTCCTCCTGAGAGGGAGGGAAGCCATCCATTGTGAGGAGTGGAGCTTGAGGGGATGGGGACAGGGTCCCCTCACCTTGCAGACCCCAGTGTCCTGGGCCCCCTCATGCCCGTAGCAGCTGCACCGAGAGAAGGCTAAGCCCAGGCACCTCCACGGAGAACGCCAGGGCCAATAATTCCAACACTCACAAATGTATAAAGAACTCAGCAAAGGCCCTTTATCATGATACTTTCTAATTATCATTTCCAACATGAATGCTGCATACAGCTTCAAGGTCTGAGGTTTAAAACTCACAGAAAGCATCTGAGAAATAAGTCGCATGTTTTCTCATCTAGCCTGTTCCTAAGCAGCTTATAGCTTTGGTATCTGACATTCTCAAGTTCAAAGTTAAAACCAGATCAACATTTTCATTGTATTAAATGACCTCATTCATCATAATCCTGGCAGATTTTGAATATATCAATCCCCTTTGAATAGCTGTTTGCTCCCAAATACTAGGACCTTAATCGTCTATAAAATTAAGAGGAGAACAGATTACTTAGAAAGGAGACTGTGAGTAGAAGACTGAAATAGAAGCTGTACCTGGGTTAACCCATGAAGTGGGACCACATAACAGGATTCAGTCAGCTACTGAAGAAGGTTTGCATTGAAGATTACTTGTCCCAGTTCTCTCTAAGTCCACTTTAGATGAAGGACATGTCCACCAGCCCTGGTGCAAATGCTTACAAATGGTTTCAAAGACCTTGACTGAGTTCAAAGTAGAGAAGGAATGAGGAAATTAGAGAAACATGGCTAATAAATTACTTTTGGAATAATGAACTGTTTACCATAGCCAAGGCACTCCTGTGCTACCAGAAATGATGTGAATTGTCTGTTTATATACACATATCCAATGCAGAGTAACCACAGACTGCAACCAGCAACCATCATGGGTGACTGCAGCGACATCAGGCAAATCGTGATTATGGCGCGAGTTGGGAAATGATTCTGGAATCTTAGCTTGCCTGGAAAATACCTGCCTGACTATTTTAGGAAATCTAAGTTTATAGAACACTTATAATGCCAAGGCCTGTGATAAAACTTCATGCATGTCATCCGATTTAACCATTGGATAAAGAAATGAGCTCAAAAATCTTGGAAAATGAGAACAGAATGAATGACCGATCTAGAAAGTTACGGATCCAAGAAATGCATATCTGCTCCAAAGTATTTTCTCTTCATTATTTTGCTCTATATAGCTTTGTCTTTTGCTGAGATCACTCATTTAATTTTTTAAAAAAAATTCTACTTTCCAACATTTTTAAGAGCACATATTCTAACTTACGTGTATTCTGAACAGCATCTCCTAAATAGGTACAGTGAACCAAGATTCAAGCATCACTGGTTTATTCTAACTTTTTTCACTTTTATTTTTATGGTTAAGTTTCAGTTATTTATGTGGGAGACAAATAGCTTAGATAATGAAAAGTATTAGTTAATTTTCCCAACAAATGAAAAGTATCTTTTTATAAGTAATAAATAGGACTTTTTATAATTTAAATAATAGTAGGAAGATGACTTAATTTGTTAGTTTGGATTCCTCCAGAGGAAAACCTGATGCAAGCAGTCAAGTGAAGGTGATTAATTTAGAAAGTGTGGGGAACACCAGGAAGGGAATGAGGAAGTGATACCAGGAAGAGAAGGGACCAATAAAGGGTGAAGTATTAAGCCATCTGCCACAGTGAGTGACTGGGGTTTAGTCCTGCAGAGAAATGCTGCAAAACCCAAGCCTCAAATTTATCCCTACTGAGGGACAGTGGAGCCAGCATTTTCATACACTTTTTTTTTTTTTTTTTGTGAGACAGGCTCTCACTGTGTTGCCCAAACTAGACTGCAGTGGCATCATCATAGTTCACGACAACCTTGAACTCCTGTGCTCAAGTGATCCTACCTGCTTCAGCCTCCTGAGTAGATGGGACTACAGGTATGTGCCATCATTCCTGGCTAATTTTTCTATTTTTTTTTTTTTTTATAGAGATGTGGTCTTGCTCTTGCTCAGGCTGGTCTCGAACTCCTGAGCTCAAGTGATCCTCCCGCCTCGGCCTCCCAAAGTTCTAGGATTGCAGGAGTGAGCCACCACACCCAACCTTACACACCAGCTCTTGAGAGACACAGGTGGTGGGCCATTCCCGGGGGAACTAATTCCTTGGTAAGTCCAGCCTGCCCTGTGCCTGCATATGGGCAGCATGCCTTCGGCCTTTCTGAGAGGGGGGTCCCTTGGGTGCAGGGAGGTGGATAGTGGCAGTTGGCCTTAGCTGGGAGTTCTGAAGGATGAGGGCAGAGCAAGGACAGCTGCTGCTGCTAAAGGAAATTATTTTTTTTTCATGTGCTAATTTCAGGGACCTATGTTTGCCTACCAGATTATAACTGTGAAAATGGTAATCAGCTGAAATTTTGAAGGTTGAGTTAAAAAAAAAAAAAAGAAACCATCTGTTTGGGTTTTTGAGGTGAGGGAAGGTAGGTGGAGGCTTTGAGTATTTGAGTTCTTCAGCAAGCCTCATGGCTTCGCCAGGAAGAGACGCTTTCTCCATAGCTTGTGTTTGGTGGGGGAAGCAGAAGGAGAGGGGCTCAACAGCCCAATGGGGTTTTGAGGAAAGATGGATAGCAGAGTGAGAGGAAACCAGTTGCTTCACCTATCTCATTGTCCAGACTCATCCATCTGCTTTTCTTCCCTTCCTGGGGCCTCCTTGTTCTGGATCAGATATGTTAACCTCGCTCCCACGGCAGGGCCTCTGTCTTTGCTGGTACTACTGCCCGGATCTCTCTCCCTGTAGGTAGTTTCAGGGTTCCTTTTCTTGCCTACTACAAATCTTTACTGAAATGGAAACTTCTCCCAGGGTCTTATTTGACCTTGTATCCCTCTGGCATCCCCTGTCCTTATCTGGCTTATTATATATGATAGAATATACTATATTTATTTTTAAACATCTGTGCCTTCCAACATGATTGAAGCCCCATGAAGACAGGGATGTTTGCCCGTCACGTTCAATGCTGTATTCCTAGCACCAAGCACATTGCCCAACATATGGCAGCCCCTCAGGAAATAATTGCTAAAGCCATGTACTAACCAGCAAGTATCTATTATTTGATGGTGAACTTCAGTGCATCAGAGTGTTCTTAGTAGGAAGGTATTTAGACTTCAATAAGATTCAGCATGCAAAACACAGGCAACAGATGTTAGCTCTTGGAAGAGACAGGCTTTGGGTTTAAATGAATATAATTTAAGGTGAAACACACATTCTTTGAGCCTTGGTTTCCTCGTCTGTAAAATACATTTAATCATCCTTATCTCATAGGTTACTGTGAGGATTAATGGGATAAAAGATGCATTGTCAATCATGGCCTGCTTGCAACTCAAAAATTTTAGATCATTATTATGATTAATGTCAATAATGAATCTACATCTAGCTAAGAATCACTTGTTTATGTTATTATTTTGGTTCTTCCCAAACAATCCCTTTTGTTGGTTTTTGAAGTCTTTCATGACAGGGTTTATTCCTTCTGTAAAGACTGAGTGGTGCTAGTCATCGGGAAGGCTCCTTCTAGTACCCAGTCAAGGACTATAATGATAAAAGTACAATGAGCACCATGACAAGGACTTTAGACAGAGGATTACTGAGCAGGGACTGTCCCCAGTGAATGTTTTTGAATGCTTGGAAAGTACAACATTGGGAAATCTTAAAACTGTAGATCAATTTTAGATCAATTATAGATCAATTTCAGATCTTCTCTCCTACCCTCTTATGTTTAGTGGCTATGGAGTATGAATTAAACTGACAAAAGACAGATAACAGGGGAAAATCAGGGCTTATTTACCTGTGCAATGTACATACATGCAGATCTCAGTGATAAGTAACTCAAAGGGGTGGCTAGAATTTGAGGCTTATCTACCATTTTAACAAAGGGTGATAAATTGTGGAGAAGTGACTAGATACAGGAAAAGAGAGGGTGGGTTTCTAGGGTGATTAATTGTAAAAATATGACTAGAAAATGTATAGTAGATACAGGCTGTTTAATAAGGCTTGTTTATGCAGACTCATCTCACCCTGACTTTCTGTCTCCTGTGATAAGGCTTGTTCTCCTCTTGCTATAATTACCTTTAGAAAGAGAACTTTATGCCCTGCTTTCAGACAGAAAGGGAGAGGGCAGAGAGTTCTTCCTGTGCTTGCTGTTTATCAATTGCCTTTAGCTCAAAATAATCCTTATGCCAAAGTGGCATATTTTGGGGTAGCACATTCTGATCCTTTTCAGCTACTTACTTGCCCCATGCTGAGCAAGAGTTGCTTTCATTCTCAGACCTAGAAGGCTGCAAAAATATCCCCAGATGAGAGAGCAGTCTGTCTGTAGGCAAGCAGGCAGGTTCCTAGACCTGGTACTCTCTGAGGTGGAAGTCACTCGGGAGAACTGACGAATCTTCTCTGAACTGGGGTGTAATTGCTTTGTTCTCCAAGTACTGCTTGGCTACAGCAAACAAACACCTGGCTTATTATCAATAACATTCTTAGTTGGGTAAATAGGTGACAATGTCAGTAGGAATTTCAAAAATATGTGTGCTAATAGGAATTCTGCCTTTGGAAACATAATCACAGTTTCTCTGGTTCTAAGTTGCTTAGGCAGACTAGGACATTGTGTGCCACTGCACTGAAGTTGCCCTTCAACAAAATTGGCACTGGCAGCTAGCAGTCAAATTTGAAATGTTTCGGGCAGTGGAGCAGCTTTGGAATCTGTCCCACATACCAATAAATCTCTTGATCTTGAGAAAACATTTCCCGATATTCAGGAACGTTTCCATTGTTCCTTGCAACTTTCCCAAAAGGACACATTAGGGTTTCCTAGACCTCTTGACGCCCACATAACCTTCACATACGAAGTTCTGGCAGGTCAGAAATAAGCAGCACTCACTGGGAACTATGATTTGAACACTTATTTCACAGACGTTTTGCTTTTCTAAAATTCCGGGGGTGAAGAAAGGGCCTGAGAATTTCTCTGCATTGAGTGGAAGTTTTGTGCATGGAGTTCAATTCTACTCTGTCTTCATAGCAGTGTCAGTACAACGTTGTCTCTAGTGCATTCTGGATTGGGAGATAATTGCTACTGAAAGGTTCAAATTTTATGTAAACCCAGAGTAATTATTAATATGTAACTTGTGGTAATTGCCTATCCACTGTTAACCTGCTTATTCTTAAAGTTAAACATTCCTGAAGACACACAAATTCTCTGATATAATATAGTATTATTAGATTTGCCAGCTACAAACAAGTCATTTTTCCCCTAATATGTTCCTTGAACATTAACTCTATGAGATGTCTTATGAAAAGGAAGGTTTCCTAGACCAAATGATGCTAGAAATTCTATAATATCCTTTTGCAGAGTTGTCACATATATTAGCACATTAAGTGACCTGAAAATGACTGCTGAAAATAAGACTGTTTCACTTGGTTTATCCCAGAATTTGCCAAATTTATTTAACTATAATTCCTGTTTTCTTTTGTTAAATCTAGTAACACTCTACAGAACTAGCAAGTATTGTAGGAAACTCAGCTTGGATAACAGCCCTCAAAATACAATAAACACAACTACATGTTGTTCAGAGTTAGAGTCCTCAAAATGACATCTTTTGGTTTTTTGCTAATTCCAAAATGGGATTGTTTTAGAGCAGGGGAGCAGGGGTCTCCAAACTATTTTCTGTAAAGGGACATATAGTAAATATTTTAGACTGTAGGACATATGGTCTCTGTTGAAACTACTTAACTCTGCTATTGTAGTGTGGAATTAGCCACCCATAATAGGTAAACAAAGGGGTGTGCCTGTGTTCCAATAAAATTTTATTTATAAAAACAGGCCAAAGACTCAATTTGAGCCATGGGCTATAGTTTACAAAAGTCAGTTTTGGAGTGGGGTAACCACCCCTCATTTACAATTTGGTTATTTAATATTTTAAGAGTACATGTAAGGTGAAAAATAAAAGGTCATTGTGATTTTGTTCTGCAGCCAAGCCTGGTCTACTTTAGTTGCCAGGAGATTGGAGCTTAGTTCACTTCGGTCAGGATCTAAAATCCATCTCATGGTAATAACAAGCAAGACACACTGGAATCCTCAGAGAAGGTCCAGAACTTGTCTGCCCTCTGCAACTGAGAGAACAAGGTATAGATAAGTGTCCCCATTGCCTTGATATTTTGCTTTCATTCTCCCCAAATGGCCAACTAGGAATTTCCTGGTAATAAGGAAGGTGATTTACCAGCAAGACTCCAAACTTCCTTTTGAAGGTTAAGTAAAACAGGGAGGTGCTTGGAAAAGGAAATCTGCAATAAGTACTAGAAAATACCAAACCCGTGGTTATTGTAAGTCAAGCCGTATTGCAGAATCAACAATCCCCATTATACACAAGGGACCACCCACCAGAGGAGCATCCAAAGATAATAATCTATGAGAAGAGGACCACAAAAATGCGGATGCTGAATTTCTGGCAGGACCTTGTTGCTCATGTTTAAAGAAGTGATTGTCCCTTAGATACCAAGGCCATTTCACTAGATTAATGCTGGCAAAGTTTTTGTTTATTGATGCTTTAACTTTGTGTGACTCTTTTTTATCTTTAACCCTTTCCAGTGCAAGGATTTTGATTCCCCTGTAGTATCAAAGAAAAGAAACTGTAAAAAAGGTGAAAAAGCTTTATAAAAAGCCTCTAAGCGAACAAAATGATAGAATTTTAGTGCCGGAAGCAATATAAAGATACCTAATCTAAATACATTAAAAAGATCAATGAGACATCTTGTTCAGGATACCAGCTGATCAGTGACAGGCCATGAAAGTAAGGTTTCCTGGGTCATGCTGAAGGTGGTTCAGAGGACAGATTCTCAGAGCTAACATTCTAGACCTTGTGAAGGTTCATTATCAGCTCTCTGGCTGGGCTTCTGTTCTCAGCACGCACGACACACACACTTCTCAAGCTGGGAAATATCAGAGACTGCAAGCACATTTGTTTCTACTGTGTTGTAAATTATGAAATAATCTCAAAAATAGTTAAGGCTTAGATGCTAGGACACATGCATTCTAAAGTAGCAGGAGCATTTGGGCTAAACCTAGATTGAGAGAGAAAGTCTGGCAGTGCCCGTGCATCTAGTGATCCGTACGCCTTCTGCATGCGTCGATGTGCATGGTGAGGAGGTGGCGCTGTGCGGGGCTTGGGAAGAGTCAGTGGTGAGTGCAGGTCCCTGGAGCAGAAACAGGAAGTGGAGAGGTTTGCATTTTTGCATTTTTCTCCTTCTCCTGAGGTCACAGAGACTAATGTGTGAGCTTTCTGCAAGCAGATGCCAAGAGGAATTTTTTTCCAAGTCGTTAATGAAACTTGGGCTCCTGATAATGTGAACTTGAGGTCTGGAATTGGGGAGAATGGCTTTCTCTCATTTTACCTTCAGCATTGTGAAAGTTCAAGGGAACTAGGTGCAATTTGGCACCTTGAGGGTTGTACAGGCCTTGGCAGCCCAAGGACATGGCAGGCGGGCAAGAGAGCTGTTTCTCATAGAGCTGTTGGCAGCTGCCAAGTGTCCACTCAACGAAGCTTAAGCCATGTAGGGGAGGAGAAATGTCTTTTCTTTCCATTTAAGGGTCGTGGTAGAAACTTCTATAAGAAAATACAGATTAACAAGTGAAAAACATACAAATTTATTTACTATAAACTTTATGTGACCCAGGAACCTTCAGAAATAAAGACACAAAGAAACAAGGGAACCCAAGACTTGATGAAGAGTGGACTGCCATAGAGAAATAGAATCAGAAAAAAGGGTATGATCTAATAGCAAAAAACTAGGGGAATCTTAGCAAGGCCTGTTTGTTCAGATTCTTCTCTGTGTCCCTGTGTCTTCAGAGATAAGTATGCTAGTTTCCTCTGGGAAGGGGAGGGCACTCTCTAATGAGGATCTTATGGTCTGCTTCAGGGGAGAAGGGTAAGAGGAAGGTGAGGGTGGCCTTTCTGCTTCTGCTGTTTTCTCAAAAGCCAAGGTGCCATATTTTGGGGTAGCATGTTCTGAACCTCATTGGGCAGCGGGCACCTACAGTGTGGATCTGTCCCTGTGACCTTAGGAGAGCTATGCTGGGGACAGAGCACAAGGAATTTGGGAAAGGGAGGGCCCCAAGGCCAGCCTGTATTTATCCACTTGGGGATGAGGAGCCAGCAACGCTGGGGGATCAATATCATCAGGTTCCCATTTTTAGCCATAGGCTATAGAATTCTCAGAAAGTTTTGGTTATACTTGGCAATATTAAGCTTTAAACTCCCCAAAGGAATTTTAAAGCACTCTCCCCAAATAAGATAGAAACTTTAGCTTTCTGCAAATCGTGATTCGTATACTATTGTTAAGCAACCACCAAAAGACAGAAAAACCCATTAAACTAAAACTTAAATATTTTATGCAATCGATCTCAGGGAAGTGTTTTGTCTGCTTTCATGCATCTGTTCAGGATAGCAAATATCCCGTGCTTAATGTTCTTGTCCTTATTTGCATTCTAAGACACTCCCACCCCCAAAGCTTTGTGCTATTAATAATAGCAACACGGTTTGTATATGGGGGTTTGTAGCACAGGGAATTAAGTAAAATATAGAGAAACACTGTTTTGTCCAGCCAATACGAGAACATTCAGTTCCCCGAATCTGGCAATTCAGAACAATATTCACTATAAGAAGTGTCTGTGAATAAATGATAGTGTGTATTTTCCTTTTAATTGCAAATGGTAGATTCTTTTTTTAAGGTTATACTTTGGAATGGACCTCTGTTAAATGCTCAAGAAAATTTCTTTCCAAAGTGAATAATCATGCTTTGCCCCGGTGGTGGAGCCCTGTTCCCACCAGACTTTGCGCATCAATTATTTTTCCCTTCTCAGTCCCTCACCTACATGGAATGGCTCTTTCTCCAAATCTTCATGACACCCCTTGAGGCACTCACAGGGTACTATGGCCACGTTTGGCCTTCCCTCCCAGTGGAGGATCTTCCCAGCCGAATCTCTTTCCATACTTACATCTACAGTTCATGCTTGCCAGAGCGCACACCCCGCCCACCACATTGCGTCAGGCTTCCAGAGCTGCGGGTGATCCGGAGGTGGCTGACTGTGTACCTGTCATCTGACAGATCTGAGAGTTTCAACCCCGATGGCAGTCTTCCAGCAGCGGGGATTAACTTTCTCATTTGAAGATCAGTTTTCAAAGGTGGAAGCCGTGGGTGTGCCCGCCACACTGCCACCGTTCTCATGCTCATAGAAACCCGGGCTTGTCTGAGCCGTAAACCCGGACGGTAATGAACATGCCACACATTCCGAGGCCTGTCATCTTTCCCTGGCTTTGCATTGTGCAATTGCTGCCCACGGCTGGCCTCTCAATCATCTGCTCTAGCAAAAGAGGGCTACTCCCCGTCCTGTGAGTAGACATGTGCATCTCTACTGCCCTCTCCACTGCTGGTCACCTTGGCACTTGGGCTGAAATGTTCTCCCACACTTCTACACTCACATGCTATCATCCTGTCAAGCCCCAATTCTAGTTCTACTTCCTCCGTGAGTCGTTTCCTAAACACGCCACCCGCAGGGGTCTCGCCTTCCTGGAATCCACACCCACATTTATGGTCTGTTCCTGCGGCCAGTTCTCTAAAGTCCTCGTTTGCTTGATTACTTGTTTATCTTAACTCTTGCGCTTTCATGTGGCCTTTCTTGTGGTTATGGTTTATGTTCACAGCTAAGTTGTAAAAAAGTTCGTTTCTGTTTCACTCTTTAGGATCTGGAAAGTACCTTAAAATCTAATTTCTGTCGATCAGAGCACTCCGTACGGATTTGGACACAGAGGAGGTCAGCAAATGGAGTTTGAAAAGCAGCCACGCTAGGTCACACTGCCAGGCTAGAAAGAAAAATGTTCAGATATTCCTTTGGTAAATTTTTTTGATTTCTCAGAATTGACTGCTTCTGTAATATCACATGATATTATATCAAAGGGATCAAATTCATTTACTTGCCAAGTATGTCATTTCTGACTTGTAGAGTTTTGATGATAGGTCCTAATTGATTTGACTTCCCAGTTTTTACTTCTTTTAATCACGGGCAAGTTGCTTAAGTTTTCCAAACCACAGCTTCCCTCTCTTTCTCTCTCTTCCTCCAGATATATTTATTCGGTAAGAAATTTAAATGATATACGATATAAATCACAACATTTTTAAAACAGCATTTTATAAACAGCAAACATTTCTTCAACCCATTTTCTACACCAGGCACTATGAAGATACAAAAATGAGAATTTCAAAAATTGGTTGAATTCAAGGAAACCCTTCTGGTGAGGTAAGAATTTTTCATCGTTGCTTTCTTACAGCATCTTCTTATGTTTGCCTGGGAGTGTTGCCATTATAATCCATGCGCATTAATGCTGCCCCTAATGTCATTTTTTGCTTACAACTTACTTCACTGGTAGCTATTATCATTAACCCATGTGTTTTAAAAATGCAGAGGCCTGATGGGAATATAAATTTTATAATCACTCTGAAAACTGCTTGTCAGTGTCTAGTAAAACCTTCCCCTGACCTAATAGTTTCATTCTCAGGTATATGCTAAGCAGGAATGCACACATCTATTCAGCAAAAGACATGTACTAGAACGTTCTTGGCAGCTTTATTCATAATACTTTAAACTGGAAATTATCCAAATGCCCATCAACAATAGAATAGATGAATAAATTGTGGCATATTCGCACAATAGAAACCTACACAGCACTGAGAATAAAGAAACTGCATCTCCAAAGCAGCATGATGGATCTCACCAACGTAGTGCTGAGCCAAAGGAGGCAGACACAGAAAGCATGTATTGTTTGATTCCATTTACATACAATTGAAATCAAGGCAAATTTGTCCATGCTGTAAGAAGTTCCCCTTAATGGAGAAGGAGTGGAGATGGAAAAGGGGTACAGAAAGTGTTTCTGGGATGCTGGTGTTATTCTGTTTTTTTATTTGGGTGTTGGTTTCCCAGGTGTCTTGAGCTACGCAAGCTCACTGAGCACTTTGCTGCATGAATATTATATTTTCATAAAGTTTTTTTTTTTTTTAAAGATTCAAGACTGTCCTGGCTACTATTTGTTTTGGAACCTCTTAACACTTGTTGGCAGGCCACTGGCTCTCCCACCCAAGTGGGCATCTCAGTCCCAGAAGTAACTCTTGCCTCACGTACTTTTCCATAAGACCCTGGACAGGAGGAAGTGGCCTAAATGGCCTGTCATCTCTCTCTGATTGCCCCATTTTGCACTCATTTCTTGGCTTCCATTACATTCAGTTCCAAGATCGTTTACTTTGTGCTTTAGTTTTCTCTCCATTTGCTAATTTTTTAAAAGTGATTTCTTCAGTTTCTCCCCTTTCTTTTTTATCCTTGACTACTGTGAGATGTCTCTCCTCTTTTTGCTTTATTTGTGTTTTTCTTCCTTGTAGATTGTCACCTTTCCATCTGCAGTCACATCTATGGTAACCAAGAGTATTTGAGATATCGCCATGAATGGCACCCATGAGTGGTTGAACGTGGACCAGTCAGCAGCTGAAGACTCCTGGCTTAAGGAGCACGTCACTTCCTTATCTAGCAGAGTACGTGAAGTGCTATTTATGCATTCTCATGCACGGCCTCCTTTTTATCACATCTGGAGCCATTAAGTCTGGCGTGACTCACTCTATTACAGCTTAGAGCTGTGTTCATGGCTGGCATATGGCAGCCCAATGTGCAGAGTCTCTTCCTCCCTGGGAAAGGCATCAGGCAGACAGTTACTTCCAGCGCCCTGCACAGTCTTGTCCATCATTATTGTCCCCTGACCACACCCTAGATCTGTCTTTCTTTGCCCAGTTAATTTAAAACATGGCAATATCTCCACAATTAATTTTGATATTTGATCTCAAGAAACAATTGCATTAAAACTCTTGCCCCATAATGACAGTAAAGGATTATAATCCATTGAATCAAATAAGAATGTATAGACCTACAGAGGTAATGCAAATATACATACATAAGTACATAAATGAAGGAGAAAGGAAAGTTCTTCCCTACAAGAGGACACCAATTAATAAATATAAAAATAATAATGAAGGTAAAAAAAATGTCACAGTGTCACACACATTATAGTAACAATTGATTCAGTTAAGACTCATCAATGGTGCTAAAACTTAGTGGGTGAAAATTAGAGAAAGTGTTTTCATAGTCTCAAAGTATCTCCCTGCAGAATATCTATTGATGACAGAAAAAAGTAATTTTATTGTAGAAAAAACTGGCATTGTAGAAAAAATTGTTGTAGGAAAAAATTCAACTAAGTGATCAAAGTGATTGGTTACCCCTCACCAATCATGGGGCAAACCCAGCCTATATGCCTTCTAATGTGATGTGCTGAGGGCAAAATACCACCTATGTCACATCCCCGCAAAAATGCACAAAGTGAGTCTAATCATGAGAAGCATCGGATGAACCTAAATTGAGAAAGCATGTTCTCCAAAAGTTAGTATAATAAAAGAGCAAGAAAGACAGGAACTTTTCCAGATAAAAGGAAATGAAAGAGACTTAATAATTGAGTACAATGCATGATCCTGGATTGGACCTGAAATACAAGACAAGAAAAATAGCTATAAACGACACTATTGGGATAATTGGCAATTTAAATATGGATGATATATTAAATAATGGCATTTTCTCAATGTAAAATTTTCTATATTTGATAATTATACTGTGATTATATTTAATATGTATTTGTTCTTAGGATATATTGTTGAAATTCTCATGACACATGCAACTTACTCTGAAATGGTTTAGGAAAAGTATAAGATAGATGGATACATAGACACATGGATAAATAAATGGATAGTTGGTGATAGACAGATAGATAAATACATAGATAGCAACAGTAGATAGATGGTTAGATATATACATAGATGATAGATAGATGGATAGATAGAAGATAGCACAAATGTGGCAAAGTAGTAATAACTGGTAAGTTCAGGTAAAGGGATACACCAGTTCTTTGGACTATTCTTTCAACCCTTTTTAAAGTTGATATTATTTCCAAATAAAAAGTTAAAAGTAAGAGTGTCTCATATCCTTCTAAAATTTTTTATAAGGTGGGACAGACACAAATTTAAGAAAAATCAATATTCCTTGAAAAATGTTAAAAATTGTCTGATTCCGAAAGATCCCTGTTCTTAACATCCAAACGTCAGGCAGTATATTGCTCTTTGCCTCTACTCAGGCTGTCATCAATGAGCACCCCACAATCAGATTCTTAAGTAGGTACTTTCTGATCACCATCTCTCAAGTTGACCTTCGTTACAAGATGCTTTTACAAAATTTGATAAGGTTGTCTTCGTCCTTTGCTAGTCTTTGACTTTGCTGAATTATAATTAAGTTCCTCTGCCTGGTTCCCACCCCTGCCCACACTCAGGCATTCCCTCTGTGAGCTCTTTGGCACTTTCCCACCATCCTCTCCACTGTCCAGGCTTGTCTTGGGTCCACCTTTCCTCCTCTTGCTCCATGCCACTCCCCTTTTGTGATAGAAATTCCTGCCCCCTGAGGAAGCAGTTACAGGTTCCAAATCCTGCATGATGCTACCCTACTTCTTTTTCTTTCTCATGGTGCCTCCAACTTTTTCAACTCCCTGTTTTATTCCACACAACACTCCTTCTGTATTTCTCCAATATTAGGAGATTCCTAACCTCTATGTGTAACAGGTGATACCATATTGACTACCTTTTTGCCAGTAAAGTGGAAAAAATAAAGCTTTATTAATACCATGCAACCAACAATGCAATGGGAACTTTGGATTCATATTATCATATATTTGTTATACATATTATCTATATACACATGTGTGTATATTCCCTTCAACTGTTTCCTAAGTATTTAGATCATTAAATATGAAATGTCCAATTTTGAATCAAAAGTCTAGTTTATTATATCTCAAATAAGAAGCAGTACAGTTAATCAAAGTATGTGCCTAAACTATCAACACAGTTTTGCCATCTTAACTCAGGAAGCTTGCCTTTATGCCAGAAGGGAAGAAGTCTAGAGAGTGAGTGGTAATGAAATCATAAAAAGGTGTTTTCCACAGCTTGTTGAGAATTGAATATTTTTCCTTGCAAGAAGTGGTCCAAAGTCTGGAAGAAGTGGTAGTTAGTTGGTGCAAGGTCTGGTGAATATGGTGGATGACAGAGAGTTTCCAAGTCCAGCCTCTGTAGTTTGAGCAGTGTTGTTCTTTTGCAATATGTGGTTTTGCAAAAGGATTGGCCTGTCTCTACTGACCAATCTCAGCTGCTTAATTTCAAGCATCCTCATCATTTCATCCAATTGGCTACAGTAGACATCCACTGTAATCGACTGACCAGGTTTCACGAAGCTGTAGTGGATAATACCAGCGCCAGACCACCAGACAGACACCATTAGCTATTTTTGATGAACTTTTCATTTTGGACTGTGTTTCAGCACTTCATCTTTATCTAACCATTGTGCTGAATGCTGGTGATTGTCAAAAGGAATCCATTTTTCATCGCATGTAACAATACGGTGTGGAAATGGTTTACCTTTAGGTCATGACAGCAAAGAAAGGCAAGCTTTGAGACGATTTCTCTTCTGATGCTCGTTTAACTCATGTGGTACCCATCTATCTAGCTTCTTCACTTTGCCGGTTTATTTCAAATGGTCCAATATTGTTAGAATAGTAACATCAAACCTTGCTGCTGATTCAAGTATAGATTTAGATGGCTTCACTTCCACTACAGCTTTCAGCTTATCATTATCCACCTTGGCCTCAGATCACCAACATGGCTCATTTTCAAGATTAAAATCACCAGAATGGAACTTCTCAAACCATCAACATACTGTGCATTCATTAGCCATATCTTTCCAAACATTTTGTTGATATTTCAAGTTATCTGTGCTGCCTTGGTTCCACAATCGAACTCATATTAAAAAATAACACGAATTTTTGACTTATCCATGGTTTCACAAAAATTACCCTAAAATTTTTTTTTTGAAAAATAATTGCAAGCCAAAATGTGTGTTTGAAAGAATGAGGATGTACCTTCACAATGAATAAAAAGATAAACAAATAAATGTCAAAGTGAAAATTTCAGAGATATCACCTGTCACACTCAGTACTTAAGGAAATCAGACATTTGATACTTAGTAACCTAAACATAATTGTTCTTAACAACATAGACAGCATGCAATAAATAGTTGTTTTCTTTCCTTCATATCAAAGCAGGTTGGCTTCAGCAATTTATGAAATTTAGCTATATTTTCTAATGTCATCATGAAAACAATCTTGTGAAAAGGCTGTAGTGGTTTGGGAGGGGGTTCGGGCACCTGAACCTGTTTCCAAAATCCTCCTTGTGTGATTTTTTTGGAAGATGGGCTAGGTCTCCCTCCAAGATAGCTATGAAGAGTTGGAAAGTTCTTTTTGCAGAACTCTGGAAGCTGCGTGAAGCATGTCATATAAATGTGACCAATCAGATTCTCCCGCCAGGAATTTGGCTTTAGGACCAAACTCCCTCAAAAAAAGAAGGGATGGGTAGAAATTCATTTTGGTGGCAGCATTTCATGTCCAGTGTGCAGGGGCAGTAGTGATCCTGACAAGCTTCTAACCAGACAGTCCCTTGGCTCGATATGTGTTCTGAGACCTCATCTGCCTTGCTTTCTTTTTGTTTCCAAGCATGGGTCTCTAGACTCTCAGCCGATTTTGTGATCTGCCTTCCTTCCAGCAAATCCATTTTTTGACCTAAGTTGCTGCATTTGGTGTGTGCTGTTTGTTTGACAGGTCCAGTTGATATTACTAGTTCAATAAAGAATCTGATAAAAATTGCCTGTCTAAGCAGAATTTTAATTCCAGTTAACTGGCTTCAAAACCTTTCCCTTATTTTATACTACAAAGCCATTTTAAAAACATGTTTTTTATTTTATTAATATCGTGGAATTTGTGAGCCACTCATCCATAATGAAGTTATCCCCACACTGAGTGACAGAAGAGCAGTATCAGTGTTCTACAGCCAAAATCCAACTGCCACGTTCTTTGTTACCGCTCAGTAAACTGAACTGACTGCTTTTTGGACATATGTCATTGTGATTTCTTTGTGCTGGTAGAAAAAAATCATTTTCTTTGCTTTCCCTCCAGGTGACCTTGGAGTGTGGTGCATGTTATTCTGTAGCTGCAAATCCTTCTGCAAGAAGATAAAGATGTTTCACAGTGGAGATTTTCTATTTGGCAGGCCTACCTCAATATTTTGACCCTGACCTTTGGAAGAATGAACTTTTTTTTTCCAATGCAGAAAAATGAGTCATTAGTATCAGCAAAAAAAAAAAAAAGTGCTTTAGAATATGTTTGATCAATGAGCTGTGCTTGTGTGTGCTCTTCTTTCGGTGTGAGAGCTTGTGTAGGTGTTTCTGGCCCAAACATTTTTGACATTCTGATAACCTGCAGGATGGGAAATGCTGCCTCTGAAAGAAACGCATTGTGGAACCCTGAAGAATGCCCCATTCAGGTCTTAAGTGGCACCATCTGCGTGTCTCCTAAAATGTGGGCGCCCTGAAAAGCTTTGTCCCCTGAGAGAGAACTTGGCTTCCACAGGCTCCTGACTGCCGCGATGTCCGGGTGAGGTGTTTGTCCTCTTGCCCTTTGGTGTGGCCTTCTGAGAAGCTGACTTGAGAGGAGACAAACCGCATTGAGTTGCAGAAACCCTGGGAATAAGCACATACTGCCTGCTACAGAAGGCAAAAATCCCAGCTGTCAAAGCAAAATTTCCAAAGTAAAGTGGACAGGGCCTTTCTTCATTTGCATGTAAATAGGTCAAAATAAACATCAAAAGGCAGGAAGAGCGCCTACATGGTCGCTGATGAGAATGAAAAATAAAATTCTTTTCCAGTTTCATCTATCTTGTCTCCTTTATTCCTTTCAGATGTGATGAAGGGCAGAGGAGACTGGATGAAAAGGCTGAATGTTATTTTAGAAACTGCCTCAAATCTTCCACCGGTGCTTCTACTACTTCATTACTCAAAAGATTTTTCATTTGTAAAATAAGATTTCTCCATAATAATAATATATTGAAGCCAATCATATATCACAGCCAAGTCTCTCAAAGGAATATATTTTTGTTATTTTAAAGTAATGTACATATAGACTTTAATAAAATTTAATTATAATAAATGCTCTTTCTTCTATTTCTACCTTAAAAATACAAATATTGAGATAGTTGTAGCAGCACCTAAAACCTAAAAATGGATAGGTAACATATGACATTTAGTACACTAATTTCAATTTGTTAATTCAAAAATTTGTCATTATTCCCAGAGCATATTTAATACCACCGACTTTCCTGAAAGTAAGTTCAGGAAACGGAATCTAACCACTCTGAATGAGGAAATCAAGTCATTCCCAATTCCTGACAATAAGATCTTTGTGAGAATTTAATTTATGAAATTATAAATCTTGGATTTGACGTTAAGAGGTAGTACAAGTTCTCCTTTTGTCTGATTTTGGAATGGGGAACACTTAGAATTAATCCTAAGAGCTCCAGGTCTCTCTGTGCACAGGGGGTTGGAATCCCTGAGCAAGGTTGGCTTGCGTGGCTGGACTGCCCTCCCAGTCAGAGCGCTCTGCTCCCCCCAGGCACATGGTCTCTGCATTGTCCCTGTGTTTTGAAGCGTTGCACAGTGTTTAGTGTGGCACTCAGCACACAGCAGGCATACCATGTTGCCAATGCCAGCATTTACACACTACCTGCACTGACTGACAAAATGTGGATCGATGTCACAGAGCCTCTTTTTGTGCTTCTTGCTCAGTCCAGGCAAGTTGTGTGTTCTAGTCAACCCCAAATTTTCACTCCGTAAACATCTGTCAACAGATTTCCTAGATTACCTTTCTAAGCTTTGTCATTTTGGGCAAAGCACTAAGGATCTCAGTTTTTTTTTGGGGGGGGGGGTTGTCTATGAAATGAGAGAGTCACACAAAGTGATTTCTAAGCACTCTCCTAGATTGAAGTTCTAGGGTCCCCGACGTCCAGTGACCTGTCACGTATCTATCCCTGCCCCATGTCCCATTGGCATACTTAATTCAGCAATTTCAAACTAAACCTTTTCTTGTCTTCTTCCTACTTCTATTTCCTTTGATGGAATTGAAAGCCTTTTCCTTTTGAATTCCCCCTTTTCCTATTCCACATCCATTGCATGGCCTTATAGCTTCTTATGGCTGTTCTTTCTTTTCTGTGATATGCTTCCTTCCTGATAATGCTGAGACTACACAGTTCAAGACATTATGACTTCCTTCAATGGACTATAAATTTTTTTTTTGTCTATAGTTTCTTTCCCATTTAAACCTACCATATGCATTGATTGCTGCTGGACCACACCTCTGAAAGACGACATCATTTCCTCCAGTGGGTTCCTATTATCTACCTAGTTAAGCAGATACATATTTGCATGCACTATCCTTTGTAACAATACCCCAAACTACCTTTCCAAGCATCTGCCTCCTCTTTCTAATATGTTTCTTATACTCTATTATAATATTCCATGCTGTTCCATCATAAACTCCAAATTTTCTTAGTTCAGTCATTTACTCCAACTGAAGCTTTCTGTCATCTCTTCATCTCAAATTTTGTCTATCCTATAACTTTACCTCAATTGCCATGACATGTTTTTCATAAACTTTTTCTTATCTTTCAAGATGTGACCACACTAACCTGCAAATTGTCACAGTATTTTACATAACTCTAGTATTATCTTCACATGGGAATTTGTACGTATCCTTCCAATAAGTTTTAGATATCCTGATTACTGTTATTGTGTCTTATTCATCTTTTTATCCTTTGGAAATTCTTTCTTAGTATCATGTACATTGAAATTCAAGAAGAGTTTGTTGAAAGATACTGAATTTCGGTTGAAAATGTTCTCTGGATGATCATTTGATTACAAGTTATAAAATCCCACATTAAATAGCTCAAGGAAAGGGAGAACTTTCTGGACAGGAATATATCATAGACCATAAGACATCTCTACTTCCAGCTGAGTATGTGTTTCATTATTTATTCTCTTTCTTTTCCCAGACTGTTGGCTTCTCAGTGCCCAGGATAACATAATTCAAGTGATGGCTTCCTTGTTCAAATCTCCAGCAGAGATTAACTGTAGTCTGAGTCCCAAACCAAATTCTCAGAAAGAAATTGAAGTCCTCAGTTCAGGTATCTACCTTTGGCCCAGTAAACTTTGAATAGGGGAGAGAGTCCCACCCAGCCAGCTGCTCTCTCATTAAGGACATTTGAAGTAAAATTTCTAAGAGGACTATAAAATGAGGGCCGCTAAATGTTAGTCATCAGTGAAAGGGACCCAGGCTGGCACACAACCTAAGAAGAGTCATTCCAGTGTGAAGGAATCTAAATTCGACGTCACAAATATATGCAAGATTTCAGAATTATTCTAAACTTTATTAACATCTGTAAAAACACTGTATTACCTGAATCATCCATCTGACTTGCTGGATTGTTCTGTCTTATTCTGCATGGTACATGGTATCATTGTCTCCAGTTATTTGCTGTATTTAAGTCTTGCAAGGGAGAGATGTCCCAAAAGGAGTTATAGGTGTGGCTATTTGTACATGGTACTGTCTGGAATCCATAACAGCCAACTAAGTTTTAGAGAAAATTGGACTATCGAAAGAGCCACCAACCTGAACTAGAAGAGACTGTGACCATTTGAGATTTAAAACAACTTTGCAAATTCCTCTATCAGGAAGCAGGGTGAGAAAGCTACATAACCGCACAAAAGGCACATTTCCCAATACTGTCTTCATGTGTGACTGGGAATGGCCATGGGGAAGGAAGGCCCTCTCGGAGCATGGAGTCAAGAACCTGCTATGTAGCAAGCAACTCCAAGGGAGCAAAACCAGAGCTCAATCAAGGAGCATTCCTTGTTCGTAGGAAGGAGGATTTTGCAAAGTTTGAGCAAAATTACTGAAAATTTCTAGTGACTGCTGTGTGCCTCTTACCTTTATTTCTTTCTTTTTGTTAGAGACAGGGCTCACTCTTTCACCCAGGCTGGAGTGCAGTGGCATCATCACAGCTCACTGTGGCCTCGAACTCCTGGGCTCAGGTAATCCTCCCACTTCAACCTCTTGAATAACCAGGACTATAGGGATATGCCACCATAATCAGATAAATTTTTTGGAGAGACAGGCTCTTGCTTTTTCCCCAGGTTGGTCTCAAACTCCTAGTCTCAAAGGATCCTCCCACCCTGGCCTTCCAAAGTGCTGGGATTACAGGCATGAGCCACCATGCCCAGCTTCATCTTCCTCTTTGTAATGGCACTATTTATTGTGGTTAGTTTTTCTCTTATTTAACTATTGTGTATGTGTGATGGGGAAGACAGGTCACTTGCATTAAATTTTTGTTTTAAATTCATAAGCCTCTGGATCCAAAGGACCCCCACCTGGCCCCGATACAGATAACATCATAAAATTTTAGATATTGAGCTTGATGCTATGATTGGGTTGGATTGTATTTTGAAGTCTCTTTGTTTTGGACAGAGGGAGAATGTATTTTATTTAAGGAAGGAAGAAAAACAAAACTTTGTGACCAAGGGCAGAATGGGTAAGTTATGTAAAGAACATTATGGTTCCTGATTTTTTGCTGCCACTCCATACAGGAAGATAATTTCTCTCCATACATGGCTATCAGGTTGGCCATGTGACTTGTTTTAGTCAATGAAATGGGAGTGGGATTAACATAAATCACAGCTGCACAGAAGCTTTACATGGTAGCTCACGGATCTTTCATTGGTCTCCCCCCCCCCCAGCACAAAACTGATTGCCCTGGATAGGAACTCCTCCAATATGTGCTCCAAAATGAAGACAGTGTGACACATACTCATTGCCAAATCTGTGTAGGACAAGTCATATGAGAGAAATAAACATTAGTTACTGTAAGCCACTGATATTTAAGAATTGCAGCATAAGAGTTGATGAATGAAACCTGGTTTATGAAGTGCTTTACACAATAGTTTATAAATGTGCAACCTCTTCTAGATTTGCCCCATTAAAGAGTGCTAACGCTCTCAGAATCCTAAGAGAGGACAAGTCATGCAATGGTTTTCAATTTCTTTTATTCCTTCACTTTCTTTCTTTATTCCTTTATTTATCCTTCCTTCCCTCCTTCCCTTCCTTCCTTTGTTAAAGCACTGGTACCATTTCTCCAAAAAAAATCTCATTCAGAAGAGCAATATTAAATATCAGACAGTTGAACAGTTCTGGAAGGAGAGGAAAGAAAATGAGGGAGAGTGAGAGTTGCGCATTTTCTCATTTGCCTCCTCACCGACCCTCTCCACACCTGACGGGCTTGAGGTAAGCCTTCTTAAAGTCCCTTCAAAGCACAGCATAAAAGAAGTTTAAGATTCAAGGAAGGAAATGTGCACACAGCCTCACAGCTGTGCTGTGAGCCAGTCAGGAGGCTGTAAAGTGCAGTGGCCCTCAGAATAAGACAGATATGAGTTTCATTCTCTGCTTCGCTACCCTTTAATGTGACATTGGGCTGCCTCCTCAACACCTGCAAGTCTCTGTTTCCTCATCTGTAAAATGGGTACGTCGAAACTTGCAGCATAAAACGATTGAGAAGATTCAATGAATCAGTGTATTTGCAAGTTATTATTATGTGCCCCTTGTTCTTGGTCCAGTTTTCTGTCCAACACACAAGACTTTGTCCATATCTCAGAAATTTTCAGAGAAAAATATGTTCGAAGTGGTTCATTCCTCATTATTTCAGAAAAGCAGACAGTGGCTTGTCCATGGTCACCTTGCTGGACCTAGAACCTGGATTCTATCTGTGGCAAAACTGCTACTGAGTCTCCAAAGATCTCTGGGTTTGGGGCTGTGTGTATTAGAGTGCT